TATTCAAATAAGTGGAACCAACCAATTTCTCTTTCTGTGTCTCATTAAATAAGAAAAAAAAATCAATAAAAAAGACAAAAGAAAAGAAAAGAAAAACAAATGGGCAAAGGATATGAGCAGGCAATTCCAAAAGGTTACTAATAAAAGAGCATCAACTTCAGTTGTGCTCATAAGTGGAAACTATCCCACCGGCGTGGCTCATTGGTTGAACATCGACCTGAGAACCTGGAGGTCACAGTTCCATTCTGGTCAGGTCACATGCCACGGGTATGCAGGAGGCAGCCGATCAATGATTCTCTCTCATCATTGATGTTTCCATTTCTCTCTTCCTCTCTGAAATAAATAGAAATATATTTTTAAAAATAGTAATAAAATAGAAACCATATGAAATACCACTTTACACTTATTAAGATAGCTAGTATTAAAAAAAAAAAAAAAAAAAAAAAAAAGCCCTGGCTAGTGTGGCTCCCCAGCATGGAAGGGTTGCAGGTCAATTCCTGACCAAGGGCACATACCTGGGTTGCAGGCTCCAGCGCCAGTGGGGGCGTGTGTGGGAGGCAACCAATTGGTGTCGCTCTTTCATAGAGATGTTTCTCCTTCTCCTCTCTTCCCTCTTTTTCTTCTACTATCTCTGAAAAATTAATGGGAAAAATATCCTCCGGTGAGAATGAAAACAAACAAACAAAACACAAAGAACATTAAGTAGCAAGCATTGTCCAGGATGTGGAGAAACTGGAACCCTTGTGCATTGCTGATGGGAATGTAAAATGGTGCAGCGCTGTGGGAAATGGTATAGCAATTGCTCAAAAACTGAAACATGAAATTACCATATAATTCAGTAATTTTACTTCTGGGTACAGACCCAGAATTGAAAACAGAGACTCAGATATTCGTACACCCATGTCCATAGCAACAGATGAATGGATGAACACAAAATATGTTATATATACACAATGGAATATTATACAGCCTTAAAAAGGAATGAAATTTTGACACATGCTACAACCCTAAAGACATTATCATAGGTGAAATAAGCCAGGCACAAAAGGACAAACACTGTATGATCCCACTTGTATGAGATACCTAGAGTAGTCAGAAAATCATAGAGGCAGAAAGTAGAATGGTGATTTTGGGTCGGGTTATTTAATGAGTACAGCGTTTCAGTTTGAAACGATGACAAAAGTCTGGTGTTGAATGGTAGTAACAGTTACAGAATCATGTGAATGTACTTTATGCCATAAATTATACACTTAAAATTATTAAAACGGTACATTTCTCCCCCCCCCACAACCGGTACATTTCTTGTTACCCATATTTTCCGGCGTATAAGACGGCCCCCTAATTTTTACAGTTAAAACATAGGTTTAGGCCTATATTCGCTGTATAAGACTACCCCCACTTCAAAGAAAAGGCTTACTTTGCCGTCAAGATCTACAGGTAATTTTTGTGCAATTTTGGTCTTTTATCCCCGATTTTCGGTTGACTTTTTCTCGGTTCACAAGTCGTCTTATATGCCGGAAAATACGGTAGGTATATTTAATTTAAGAACATTGCCCCTCCAACTAGCGGAGCCGCTGACCTATCTAGGCAGCGCAGCTGACCCCACACACCTGGGCCTCCGCTCCCCGCGCAAACCTCCGCCCATCCCTCCCCCATCCTCCCCCTCCCCATCCTCCCCCTGCCCTGCACCAGAGGCGCATCCCTGCAGCCCTGGCTAGCCTCACCGCGCAGGCGCAGAGCTGAGGCTGGGTGGGCAGGCGGAGGCGTGGCCTCACCAGGCGCCTGTGCCGCATTCCAGCTGCGGGTGCTGCGGGGTTAATGATGCCCAGGTCGGGCATCCCGGCCCGCCGGCCACGTGGAGACCTGCACTGCACACGCGCAAACCGCGCACCGGCGTCAAAAGGCGGAGGGAGCGCGCGCTCCCCGCGTCCTGCGCGCCCGGCTGCCCGGCTTCCGTCCCCCCGCGCCGCGGCTCCCTGCGGGCCGGGCTGGCGCGGCCGCGGCGAAGAGCGATGCCCCGGGAGATCATCACCCTGCAGCTGGGCCAGTGCGGCAACCAGAGTGAGCGCGCGCGCGCCGGGCCCCTCCGCTCCCGGTTCTGCCCTTTGGGTACCACTCCAGTGCTTGGCATCCTGCTGTTGTCCTTTCCCTCCTCCCGTGATACCTCCCCCGCCCCCCCCCCCCCCCGCCCTACTGCGCATGATGAACCGGCACCGGACCCAGAGCTAAGCATCCAGCCCTGGGCGGGGAAGGCTCCCAGACAGGGGTTTGGGATCTAGCCTCTGGGTGTGACAGCCTCTGTGCCCAGCCCTGGGCTCCTGAGGCCTGTGACTCCAGCGGACCCAGCATCTCCCCCCATTCCCCAGTTGGGTTCGAGTTCTGGAAACAGCTGTGCGCAGAACATGGGATCAGCCCCGAGGGCATCGTGGAGGAATTCGCCACCGAGGGCACGGACCGCAAGGACGTCTTTTTCTACCAGGTGCTCCGGCGAGGTGGCCAGGGGGCTTGAAGGCAAGGGTCTTGGGAAATCCCGCCGGGTAGAGGGGCCAGGGCGGCTGGCTTGTGGAGGGAGGGCAGGGTGGAGCCAGAGATGAGAGGATGGAGGACTGGGCCGGCCTTTGCTGAGTGGGCCCCCTCCTGGACTCCCTTTGACAGGCCGACGATGAGCACTACATCCCCAGGGCTGTGCTGCTGGACCTGGAGCCCCGGGTGATCCACTCCATCCTCAACTCCCCCTACGCCAAGCTCTACAACCCAGAGAACATCTACCTGTCAGAGCACGGAGGAGGAGCAGGCAACAACTGGGCCAGTGGCTTCTCCCAGGTATTCAGGTGGCCATCCCAGGAACCCTCGGTGCTCCCTCCCTTAGGCAAGGCCGGCTCAAGCAGCCTGGGGATCTGATTAGACAAAATTAACATAAAAAGGAGACAAAGGGATGCCCTGACCAGAGGGAAAGCCTGGGAGAAGTTTATGCAAATTATTTGCAAAGTAGCTTTTCTGAGTCGAGGGCCACCGCTGAGGCTGTGCTGGAGGGTGGCAGCAGTGGTCCCTCCCTAGATAGCATTTTTGGTGCTGAAAAGAGATGCTCTCCAGAATCCTCATCCTAAACAACCCTCCGCATCCCCCCCCCCCCCCCGTCTCTATGCAGGGTGAGAAAATCCATGAAGATATTTTTGACATCATAGATCGAGAAGCAGATGGAAGTGACAGCCTAGAGGTGAGGTTTTGCCCCACTGAAGAACAAAACCAAAAAAGGCTGGAAAAGTGCTGGGGAAATGTCAGGCGGGAGCCTGAACAGGTGGTGGGATGGGGGCAATGAGAGTCAAGACTCATTTACTGAACATCTGATATGAGCTATTGAGGTAAACAAAATCCTTGTCCTCAAGGAAATGCTAATCAGGATGCACCAGCTTCTGGGGTCTGAGTCATCTTTCCCAGGGAGCCTCAGCCGGAATGGACACGGAGGAAGGCTGGAGACATGAGTGTGCTGGGACTGGGCCATGAGACCAGCCTGAAGTCTCCTGCCAGATCCCTGGAGTCCCTTTCTGTCCTTCACACGCAGGGCTTTGTGCTGTGTCACTCCATCGCCGGGGGGACAGGCTCTGGCCTGGGCTCCTACCTTCTGGAGCGGCTGAATGACAGGTAAAGCCTGGGTTTGAGAAGAGGGCCTTAGCTCTGGTTCCCTGGGCAACATCTTTCTTTTTTAACCCCTTTCTTCCTCTTGGACTGGAAAACGTGCAGCTAGTCTTTGAGTCCCACGTAGGAACAGAGCCTGGGAGGGGTGTTTACCTGGGGAGAGGAGGGCAACTACAGAGTTTGATGCTTTTGGCTTGTCCTGCCCCTCCCCCTTTCTTTCTTTTCTTAATCCTCATTCGAGGATATGCTTATTGATTTTACCCTTATATGCTTTTATTGATTTCAGAGAGAGGAAGAGGCAGAAACATCAATGATGAGAATCATGGATGGGTTGCCTCCTGTAGGCTCCCTGCAGGGGATAGAGCCCAAAACCCGGGCATGTGCCCTGACAGGGAACTGAACTGTGACCTTCTGGTTCATGAGTTGACGCTTAATCACTGAGCCATACTGGCTGAGCGAGGCTTATCCTTTGTGGCTCCTGGGCTCTTAAGACTCAGTTCTGCCCTCATGCCCTTTTGTGTAAGAATTTGGAGGCACTGGAAAGGAATGGCCCTTGTTGTCCCCAGAAAAGACAGAGATAGGCAGGGATGGTGCTACCTTCCCCTTATCTTCTTCCTCACTCTCAGGTACCCCAAGAAGCTGGTGCAGACATACTCCGTGTTTCCCAACCAGGATGAGATGAGCGACGTGGTGGTTCAGCCCTACAACTCGCTGCTCACCCTCAAGAGGCTGACCCAGAATGCTGACTGTGTGGTGAGCATAAGAGAAGGGAACAGGGGTTGGGTTCGCCTCCCAAACCAGGAGACTCACTCACACACCTGCCCTTCCGGAGCCCCAGCTGAGAGAACAGATGGCCAGCAAATCCGTACCTCGAAGCCCAAATTATGAAATAAGGACCAGATCCCAAGTTGCTTACAACCCCCCCCCCTTGTCCCCCTTATTTAATGCCTACTCATGCTTTAAATTTTCAGCATAAAGGTCACTTTGTTAGCCTAAACCTTCCTGACCACTCAGTCAAGGTCAAATGCCTTTGTGCATATTTCAGGCGGTAACTATACTCTTCTGTTGTTTTATATTTAATGTTAGTCTCCCTCCACTAGACTGTAGACTGGGCGAGGGGCAAGACTATGCCTTGGTATCTCCAGAGCCAGGCTCAGTGCATGGCACATGGGGGCAATCAGATATTGGGTGACTGCACTGGGTGGTAGAAAGTGTCTCAGGATGCCCCAGACACAGTACATTCCTTTTAAAAGAACACACTTACTTCCTGGCTTTGGACTTTAAGAGGGGATAAGCTAATCACTTATTTCTCTGCCCCTTTTCTCCTCAAAAAGGTGCCGTGACCCTCTTCTGTCCCCCCCCAGGTGGTGCTGGACAACACCGCCCTGAACCGGATCGCCACAGACCGCCTGCACATCCAGAACCCATCCTTCTCCCAGATCAACCAGCTGGTGAGCCGCTGCTTCTGGATTCCTTTCGACTGGAACCCCTTCCTCCTGGAACCCTTGTCTGGGGAAGGGAGCACCCCCCAACCAGGCCCAGACGCCTGACCTGGCATCCCTGTCCCCAGGTGTCCACCATCATGTCAGCCAGCACCACCACCCTGCGCTACCCTGGCTACATGAACAACGACCTCATCGGCCTCATCGCCTCCCTCATTCCCACACCACGGCTCCACTTCCTCATGACGGGTTACACCCCCCTCACCACGGACCAGTCGGTAAGAACAGCCCTCACTGTCTCAGGCCCAACTGGCCCTGGGCCCAGAAACCGCCAACCCAGCCTCCCTCTTTCCCTGCTGCCCAGGAGGCGCTGTGCTCAGGGGCCAGCACAGACTAAAGACTTCCTTGCTGACTTGCTCTCCTCCCTCCCTAGCCTTTGGCTCCCTGCTGTATGGGGTCTCCTTATGCTCCTGCACAGGGGCATGAGTTTGCTGAGCTGAGGATGGCTAAGATTCCTGATCCCACAGCAGAGGCTCAGCAGAGGCCTGAACCTAAAGACAGTCCCCCAAGAGGCCACACTGCCCCGAGTCTGGTGGGGGACATGTGTTGCCTCCTCTTCTCTGTCCGTGCATCTGTGGACTGTGCCCTGAGGGCTGGCCTGGTCCCCGTGGCCCACTGTCCCCTCAGGTGGCCAGCGTGAGGAAGACCACGGTCCTGGACGTGATGAGGCGGCTGCTGCAGCCCAAGAACGTGATGGTGTCCACCGGCCGGGACCGGCAGACCAACCACTGCTACATCGCCATCCTCAACATCATCCAGGGCGAGGTGGACCCCACTCAGGTAGGTGAGGCCCCTTCGTTCCACCCTGGGACCTGCGGGGGTAGAGGAGAGGCGACCACCACCACCCCTGTGCCCACCCCAGGTGCACAAGAGCCTGCAGAGGATCCGGGAGCGGAAGCTGGCCAACTTCATCCCCTGGGGCCCAGCCAGCATCCAGGTGGCCCTGTCCAGGAAGTCTCCCTACCTGCCCTCCGCCCACCGGGTCAGCGGGCTCATGATGGCCAACCACACCAGCATCTCCTCGGTGAGGCTAGTCTCCTGGTCTTTGGCTGCTGTTCCACCAGCCCCTTTGTCGTTCTCTCCCCATCCATTCCAACCTCCCCACCCTGCACTGTCCCATCACGGACATCTCTCTCTTCCAGCTGTTTGAAAGTTCCTGCCAGCAGTACGACAAGCTGCGGAAGCGGGAGGCCTTCCTGGAGCAGTTCCGGAAGGAGGACATCTTCAAGGAGAACTTCGACGAGCTGGACAGATCCAGGGAGGTCGTGCAGGAGCTCATCGATGAGTACCACGCAGCCACGCGGCCAGACTACATCTCCTGGGGCACCCAGGAGCAGTGACTTCCTCTCCCCGCCCCCCTGGAGAGTAAGCACCATCCCAATCATGGTGGTCCCTCTGTCCCACCTTCCCTTCACCAGCAACCCTTTTAAGGTTCCTCTCCAGCCCAGAAGCTAGCCCTGCTCCCTCTCCCATGCCCTAACCCTTGAGATGCTTGTTTACATCTAATAAAATAATAAAGCTTGGTTGTGAATATAATCAGGGTTCGGCCTATGACTATAGGGATGAGGAAGGGCCCTCCGTGTTCCCTCCCAATGCCCAGGTACGGGGGTTAGGGAGACCTTACCTGCTCTACCTTCTTACCATTAGCCCAGGTCTTAGTGTGTCTGTCACCATTAACATCCTTCGCCTAGAACAGCCTATTTCTAGGCTGTTGCCCCAGCTTCCTTTACTCAGGGATGAGGCTGTAAGGACTATGGAAGGAGGGCCAGCATTCTGAGGACAGGAAATCTGGGACTCTAGTTTCCCAGTGCCCCAGGGTATCAGATCCTCAGGAAATCAACCCTATTCAATCTGATCTGATAAAGCAGCCACAGACCTCAGGAGTAGGGCTGAGTCCATCCCACAAGCTCTTTATCTGCGCCACCGAAGATCCTGGGTCTAATCCTGCCCCAGGGTTCTCTCCATTCCAGGCCCAAAGCAACAGGCACACCAAAGATGGGCCTCACCAGGCCTTTCACGCACTGGGCAGTGCTAGTCCTGATGACTCACCGCCCTCTGGCCTCCGGGACACCAGGAGGCCACCTTTGTGCACTCATTGGCGAGGAGAGAGTAATTGCCAGCTTCCACAACTGCCCTCTTATCTGCCCCACCTAGTGCCCAGTGGCAGCATACTGGCCAGGAAGGGGTTAAATCCAGGCAGTCACAGAGGGTGGAGCCCTGTGGTATCCAGACTTCCCTCAGCGCTGGTAAAAGCCCAGAGTGTGGGCGTCCCCAGGGGTGGAGCTCTGAGCCATGGAGCTCCAACTTGTCCCACTGACAAACTCCCACAGGAAGGGTTTGTGTAAATAAGGATTTTTTTTTTTTTTTTTGCTTCTCTTCTACAAATAAATTAAGAAACAAACTAGAAAATTGCACCCATTGCAGCCCTTGGGTGTGGGGTAGGCCCTGTCCCTGCAGGGCGAAAAGGGTCGGTCCATGGTTCCCTCAGATCTCGGAGCAGTCCAGATCCAGGCTGGAGATGGAAGGGAGGTCGTGACCTCTTGGCAGGCTCATTTCTGCAGCTGCCCCAAACAGCCAGAGTGTCCCTGGGGCTCGTCCAGGCCGGGGTGCTGGCTGGGAGAGGAGATGTCTGGCAGGTCTTGGCATGAAGGAGAAGGACTGCTGCAGGGCCTCTCAGGGGAGGGGTTAGCCAAGTAGGCATTCACCAGCTGCATGATCTCTTCCACCTAAGAAAGGGCAGAGGGCAGAATACAACCCCAGTGGCGACTGGGTTCTCCTGTCTCCTCCTCCACCACCCAGGCTCCTAACCACAGCCTTCCATGAGCTGCCCCTACAAGCTTTCCTTCCTCCCCATCACTCACTCTCTCTCACCATGTGCCAGTCGCACTTCCTTCTTTGTGCTCCTCTAACCAGCTAAGTTCATGCTCATATCAGGGCCTTTGCACTTGCTCGTCCCTCTAACTGGAATGCTGTTCCCATAGAGCTTCCTATGGCTAGTTTATTTATTTAAAATATATGTTACTGTTTTACAGAGAGGAAGGGAGAGGGATAGAGAGCTAGAAACATTGACGAGAGAGAAACATTGACCAGCTGCCTCCTGCACAACAGCCGCTGTACATGCCCTTGACTGGAATTGAACTTGGGACCTTTCCGTCCGCAGGCCGATGCTCTATCCACGGAGCCAAACTGGTCTCTGCTCCTATGGCTAGTTTAGATGCCACCTTCTTTGAGTATCCTTTCCTGACCATCCTACACAATGCCACGGCCCCCTCCAGTCACAGGGCCCTTCCCTCTGTAGCAGGCATCACTCTATTCAATAGTCCGCACCCCTCCTTCCCACTCACCTGGGGGCTCTGCAGGAGGAGCTGGCTCTCCCCCACCCTCAGCGCCAGGGTGTGGGGGCCCATTAGCTGGCAGGCGGCCACGTGACCGTAGCTGACACTGTGGATAGGCTCCGTTTCCCCGGGTCGGGAGAGGGACATGGCCTTGGCTCCCAGGCCCAGGCATAGCTTCTGGGGAGCACCCCCACCAGGCTCCTGGGGACAGACGGGCAGAGTCAGGGTGCAGAGAGAGGACCCTCTCTTTTGGTGGGAAGAGATGGCTGAGAGCAGGAGGATCCCCAACCCCCTATGAACCACAGTGAATGAATGTGTGGACCAGGGGCTAACGCTCCCAAGATGTGGGGGCCCAGGGGCCAGTGACTCCTGGGGTCTGGGATGGACAGTTGTGCTGGGAGTAGGGAGTGAAAGGACCCCCCAGTGGGGACGTCTGGCTCTGGGGCAAAGGTGTGGGGGCTTGGGCCACCAGAGTTCCCATCTCCCTTCTCCCCCTCACCGTGCTCAGCTCCAGAACTTCATACCGAGCAGCGCCGAACCCTGGACACTGCGCCGCCAGGGCCAGGTAGGCCGCCATGGCCTCAGCTCGGCCCATACCCCGGAGCCGCTTCCAGCCGCCCAGCACGGCGGCCGCCATGCCGGCGCCGCCTCCTCCCTCTCGGACCGCGCTGCCCGCCAGGCTGCCGGCCCCGATGCGCCGGGCCCGCTCCGCTCGCCTCTTGGCCAGGCCCGAGCTCCAGATCGCCCCGGCCAGCAGGGCGGCGGAGGGGGGCGGCCTGGGGATGGGGCGGGGAGGGTCCTCCCGCTGCGGCGGGGTCGGGGTCGGGGGCGGCAGCAGGCGGTCCAGGCGCGGCGGGGGCGCCCTCGGGGAGAAGTCGCGGTGCAGGCTCTGCAGGCGCAGCGCCGCCAGGGCGCGCAGCGTGTCGTCGGGCGGGGGCGGCTGGCCGCGCAGCAGCAGCGCGTGAGCCTGCGGGAGGCACCGGCATCAGGCGGGGCCACCCTGCCAACACCCTGGGGCGAGGAATCTGAGGTCTGGGTTCGAGGACAGCCTCCCCAGGGTTGCCACAACGCCCAACGTGTGATGGCCCAACAAGGGAGGTCAGGCTAAAGGGAAGGGAGGGATGGGGGGGGGGTGGCGTCCGTGCTAACATCCTCACCTGCTCAAAGAGGAAAGGCAGCTCGTGGCCGTCCGGGGCCAGCCCCTCGGGGCGCAGAGGTCCGTGGAGTCGCAGACACAGTTTCCAGCCGGCGTCGGGCGGGTCCTCCGGCGCGGCTTCCTCCGCTGCCAAACTGCGATGGAGACCCCGGCGCTGAGCGAGGCCGCGGCCCCCATCCCCCAAGGGTTGGTTGGTTGGGCGGGACGGGGCCAAGCTTGGGGGGGCGGGGGGCTCTGGGAGCGGGACTGGAGCGGAGAGGACCTCGGAGCTGAGATCTAAAACTCCACTGCCAGGCGCTGGCGGACAGGGGTCCATCTTAGAACCAGCAAACTCTCTCTACTGGGCAGGACAGGCGGCAAGCGCTCATGGTTTGCTTGGGGACCGACCTAGGTTTGCAGGAAGACGGGCTAACGGAGAGGGGGGCCGGGCTGGACATTTACTTCTCAAACCTGGTGAGCACGTCGGCCATGAGAGTCCCCCCGGCCAGGGCTCGCTCCTGGGCCCCTCGCTGCTCGTACAGGGCGAAAGCGTTGCGACTTCGGGCCAAGCCCAGCCGCCCCACCAGCTCCCGAGCAACCTGGAGGGGAGAGTCAGACCGCTCGAGAGTCTTGTCAGCACTGCTGGGGGGGGGGGGGTGATCCCAGTGTGTCGGGGGTGGTCTTTCAGTCTCAGTCCTGCCACACACACACCCCTGATCCAGATGATGACTCTCAGACCCGGGGCAAACCTGGGGCCCGCGCACCCACCGGGAGGGCTGCGCGCAGAAAGCTGGGAGGAAGGGCTGGAGTCTCGGGGGGCCTCTCTCTCCGGCCTTACCTCCGCCGCCGTGGTGTGGGAGTCTATGGCCACGGGGCAGGCCCCCGCCCCCGGGCAGTGCACGGTGCACAGCAGCTCCTGCCGCCGGCTCAGCGCGGAGATCTCCGCCAGGGACGGCACCAGCTCGCGGCCGCGCGTCCGGCCCAGCGCCTGGCGGATGAAGCGCGCGTACTCTGCCAGCTCCGAGTCCGGGAGCGCCTGCTCCGTCCTGGGAAGGTGAGGACCCTCAGGTCGGTGCTCAGAGGGCCTTCCTTCTCCCCTCGCACTCACATTCTTACTTTACAGTTTATTTCATCTCATTGGTGCCCTCCCCGCGAACTCTAAGCTCCTTGGCGCTTGGTAAGGAGCTGAAGGGTTTTTCTAAGGCTCCTAGCGGCTCTCTAACTGCCCCTCCCACTTCCCCAAGGTCTCCTAGGTCCCTCTTCCGCCTGGAATCCAGCCGCTTTCCAACCTAAAAGCCCCGGCGCTGGACTGCACCAGTCCTAAGGAAAAGCTCCCTTTTGACTATGCCTCCGCCCAAAGGGGCACTTTTTTTTTTTTTTTTTTTTGCAATCCCTCCGCCTGCAAGGGAGATGCGATCTTGTGATTCCCAGAAAGGCACTGCACCTATCCTCAGCGGCCCTCGCCTTGGACAAATCCCTCCCCTCCTTCGGGTTTAAGTTCTTCATCTGCCCAACCCTTTCCGAAGGCCTGCCATCCTCTCCCAGCTCCATAGCGCCCGGCGTTGGCCCTGCCCCGGCCCAGCCCTCTCACCTCTCCAGGTGTCCCAGGAGGTGCCCCCGCACGGCGCCCCCAGGCCGGAAGGTACAGCTCATGCACGTGAGGAGCTGCCAGTAGCGCAGGGCCGCGGGGTCTCGGGTGGCCGGGAGCCCCGGGGGCCCCGCGGGGCCCGAGGTCTGCTTAGCCAGCTGCAGGAAGAGCTCGTCGCGCAGCGCGGGCAGGTCCCGGCAGGTCTGGAGCACACCCTGCATCAGGGGCCCGGGCCGCCGCGCCCCCTCCAGCGCCTGCAGCGCCAGGAACAGCCGCACCGCCTCCTCGCGCAGGGGCGCGTAGCCCGGACCTGCAGGAGGGCGGGGGGCGGAGGGCCGGTTTGGAGAGGGGACGCAGAGCTGAGCCCTGGGAGGAAAGCGTGGGCCAGGGGAGGTCGGAGGGAGTGTGAGGGAACAGAGGGTGGCAGGGAAGGGAGGGTGCGAACGACAGGAAGAGTGAAGGGAAAGCAGTGGTCCCCGCAGAGCCACACTCTCCACCCCTGCCCCCCAGGGCTTTCCGTCTGCTAAAGCTGCACTAATTTAACGAGGTAGAGGCACAGACTGAGGGACATGGGCTCTGCAGTTGGGCACAGGGAGCCATCACCATGGGCCAGAAAACAGGCTGCACTGGGAGTCAGGAAGCCAGGATTCTTCTCCCAACTCCCCTTACTCCTCCAGCTCAGTGGTCGGCAAGCTCATCAGTCCACAGAGCCAAATATCAACAGGACAACGATTGAAATTTCTTTGGAGAGCCAATTTTTTTTTTTTAAACTTTAACTTCCTCTAACGCTCCTTCTTCAACATAGACTCGCCCAGGCCGTGGTATTTTGTGGAAGAGCCACACTCAAGGGGCCAAAGAGCCGCTTGTGGCTCGTGAGCCGCAGCTTGACGACCTAGGCCAGTCACTAATCCCCTTTGGGGAGAAACAGCTGGGTGAAGTGAGCACATTCTCCCACCACTTGTAAAGACATTATGGCATGGTCTTAAGGGCATGATAAAAGAATAGAAAGCAGGGTAGAAACTCATTTAAGAACACCAGTCATCATAAAAAAAAGGTCAGGGGACTCTTTCCCCCTCCCTACGAGGAAGTCTGTGCTTGTTTCTCAATAAATTTTCACCTTTCCTATTAAAAAAAGATAAAAAAATTTCAAAGGGGGCCTTTTTCGTATGTGATGGCTTCCCACCCTGCTATCCTGGCTCTCAGTCTGCTCAGCTTCTGGTTTCAGCTTTCTTCTTTAAAAAGTGTGTGTGTGTGGGGGGGGGGCGGGCTGGATAGGTCCCCTGAGGACTCCTGGGTCTCAGGTGAGGCATTCAGATCCCTCAGCCAAGGGGCTGGGCCTCGGGCACCACTCACCTGGGGCGCTGGCTCCATAGGGCAGGGGCAGAAGTGGGGCGTACAGGGCCCCGCTGGTGTGCCTCAGAATAGGGTTCCGCCGGTAAATGAGGGCCACGGCCTCTGGATCCCCGCCACTCTCCTGGAGGCCAAGGAAAGGGCCCCAGTGATGGAGAAGGGAAACCGGAAAGCCCCTCCCCCTCCTCTTTCCCCACGGAGCTCCCTCTCTCCCACCTGGATGTCCCTGAGCAGCAGCTGGGTGGGGGTCTCCAGCGGCGCCTTGGCAGCGATCACTTCCCGCAGCGCCGCCCCCCAGCGTTCAGCCTCCGCCTGACGCGGGGAGCAGAGCCGGACGCTGTGCTTCCGGCCAGACACGGTCACTAGCCACAGACCTGCGGGCAGGAGAGGCCCGGAGAGCCGTCAGGGCCGGCCGGGGCTACCACCCAGGGAGGGAGGGGAATCCCCACGAGGTCTCACCGGTCTCCTTGGGCCTGCGCTCTGGGCCGGTCACTGAGCACAGGCTGGTGAGCACCAGGCTCCCGAGGCGCCGCGCCCCCTGCCCGCTGCCGCTGAACTGGTCCAGGGAGTCCCGGGTGAGCACGAACCAGGCCCGGCGCGGGGGCAGCCAGGGCCGCGCCCCTCGTCCGCGGGGCTCCCGGTACAGCCAGCCTGGGGAGAGGGCACCAGCAGGCGAAGACATTATCCCCAGGAGCCTGGGTGCCGGACTGAGGGGCATCCAGAACGCATGCGGGGGGGGGGGGTCCTCACCTTTCACCACCACATCCGAGTCGTCCTCCAGCGGCCCCTTCTCCGGGATGAGGCTCCGCGTCTCCTCCCAGCTCTGCAGCCTGGGCCGGCGGGGGGGGGGGGGGGGGAGGAGGAGGAAAGGGTTGGGAGAGGCTGCCGGTCCTGCACCCCGCCTCCAGGGGGACTCCTCAATAGGGGTTCCCCCGACAGAAAGGGGTGCCTGCTCCCGAGCCGGGCACCCCTCCCCCCGGCTGTGGGAACTGCTGGGCCGGTCTGACTTCTCACCAAAAATAGCCCGGACCCCCCCTTCCTCCCGGCGCCCCCAGCCGGACCGCCCCCTCGGGACCCCAGCCAAACCACAGCGTCCGGCGTTCGGACTCTCCCTTATTGCACAATCGCGAGAGGGAAGGCGGCGAGGATGGGGGTCCTGGGGGGGATAGGGTGGGTCTCCCGACCATGGGATGCGGAGGAGGCGCTCACCTGTCTGAGATCGGCCCGCTCCTCACAGGCTGAGTCAGCGTCACGTCCAAGGGGCCCTGGGGAAACAGGCTCAGGGTCAGAGCCCTCCGCTTGGGATGCGTAAGGCTTCTGCCCCGGGACGGTGCTGCTCAGGGGGTTGAAGAATCCAGGCGTGGGGTCCTGACTGTGATGGGGCTGGCTAAGGCCGCTGGGCTCGCCCCTCCCGCCAGCTTCTACAGCACAGCTGGAGCTTTTAAAAAGCTTCCTCTGGGTCGGTTACACTTCAAAGATGCCATCAGGGGCTTGGGAGGGGAGAAAGAGCACTGGACGGGGAGTCAGGAGACCTGGGTTCGAATACCAAGCCCAGCACTCACGACCCAGGGCTGGGAGAGAGGGACATCGAAGTCCCCTTCAATCCTCGGGCCTTAGCTTCCCGACCTTTGAAAGGGAGAGGAGGATGAGGTCTCTTTTTGCTCCTGCAGGTTCCCAGTCCCCCTCCCCCTCCTTTCCCGGTTGGCTGGGGGCGGGGTGGGGGGGGGGAGGCAGGAAGTGGGCACAGAGGCGAGAGAAGGAGAATGAAGGGGAGAGGGTCTCTTCAGCATAGGGCTTAGGGCTTTCCCCAGGAGCTTCTTAAGTCCTTCTACAGACACCGAGGAGGGAGACTCTGTGTAACCAGAGAACCTGTCCCTTTGCTGGGCCCAGGAAGGGCTGGCCAGGCTGAGGAACGGGACACACTCTCAGGGAGAGATGCCATAGGAGGTTTTGGGACTCGAGGCTCCCCTCCCCCCAATGCCTTAGAACTTCCACTGTAGACCGGTGTCTGAGGCCACAAACCCATCCAGGAGCCAGGCCATGGCGAGAAGACTGCTAAGGCCAAGAGGGGAAGGTGGGGGAGGGGGGCCAGGGACACCTGTCCCCAAGCTCCCGGGCGGGGGGGTGGAGGTGGAGCGTGAGGGAAGCAGTGGCCTGATTCACAGAGCCGACCCTGTCCAGCCTAGACGCTTGGGGACGCCTGGGTCCTGCGTGTTCCTGAGGCACAAAGACCCACCCACTTTCTGGGGGGTTCGAAAGGGGCTCGTGGCCACCCCACCACGGAGGGCAGGTGCTGACCACTCTCAGACCAATCCCCCTAATCGCAGTCCCCTGTTTCCCTCCCCCCCTCTATATTTATCCGACCTCCGCCTCCGCCAGGTGCTGGCGCCGGCCCTGGCGGGAGGCTCAGCCCGCCCCACTCGGGCACGGAGCCACTGGGCCTGCTGGGGACCCCTGAGCAGGGGGGGATGGGGGCCTGACCCAGGCCATAGCCCTGGGAAGCTGGTTGCCAGTCTGCGGGGGAATCATAGAGGGGAGGACAGGGGGAGGCGATCTCCCCACACCCCGTGCCTCAGTTTCCCCACGAGGAGGAGGTTGGACACAACCTGGGAGCCGGGTGTTCCGCAGACCCATCCCCTCGGGATTCCCAAGGAGGCTCACCAGGGCGGGTCGCGAGTTCTGTCCTGAGGTCTGTCCTGGGTCCTCGGAGGGTGGTGGCCCCCAGCTCCCTCTCCGTGGGGTCCCCGCCACGGACCCTAACCCGAAGGGGAGGCCTCCCCTTGCCCAGGTCCCTGAGGCGGGAGCTCCCAGGGAGCATCCAGGCCCCGCGCTCGGGAGCTCGGAGCGGAGAGGACCCAGGCGTCCGGGCCGCCCAGCCGGCCCCTCCACATTCCTGGGCGCTGGCGGAGGCGGAAGGAGATGGGCTGGGACCGGGCCCGGCGGGGCAGGGAGAGGCAGGGCCAGGTCGGGCCACGCGTGACGCCTCCCGCCTCGGGGCCCCAGCAGGTGGACAGCACCCAGCGCGAGGCCCACGGGCACCTCCAGGCAGGGCTGCTCCCGGGACTCCGACCCCGAGGCAAACGCCTCTCCCACGTCCGCAGCCGCCGGTCTGGAGTCTGAGCGGGACCCGGCGTGACGGCCGAGGTTAGGGAGAGAGAGGGGTTGAGACGAGGCTTCAAGCCCCCAGGACTTACCCTCCCGCCGCCCGCTGGGCTCGGGGTCCGCAGTTCAAAGGTCTCCTCGTCCTCGTCCTCGTCTCCGTCCCCGCTGAGCTCGCCGTCCCCGTAGTCCCGGTGCAGGAGAGTGAAGCCTCGACGGCAGCAGAGGAGCCACCACAGTCCCCCGGGGAGAGGCATCCGGGCGAGCGGCCGGGGGAGGGGGGGAGCCGGCAGCCGGCGGCCGAGCTGCAGGGGGTCCTAAGCCTGGCGGTGCTCCGACCGAACCGGGGGAGAGAGGAGGCGGGTGGAGGGGAAGGGAGAAGGGGACGGGGCGGAGGCAGTGTCTGGCGCTCGGGGACCAGGGCTTGTTAGCTAGAGCCCGCGGGGGGCTCCGTGTCTGGGCCCCCGAAGGGGGAGGGGGAAAAGCGTCCAGAACCCAGGGGGAAAGATGGAGCAATGTCCGGAGCTGGGAAGAAGTGTCCGTGGCGGTGTCCAGCCCTGCGGGGGGCAGTGTCCGGTGCAGAGTCCACGGTGGGCAGCTGTCCAAGCGCCAGAGGAGGGTCGTGTCCGGTAGAGCGTCCGGTGGCCGGGGCCCGGGCCGCGCGCCCTGCGCTCCCTGCAGCCCGGGGACTGGCGCGCTGGGGGCGCGAGCACAGCGCCGGGACCCGCCTCCCCAGTCCCCTCCCCTCCGCCCCCCCCCTCTCCCTCCTCCCTCCCGGCGGGGCAGGGTCCAGCGCTCGTCACAGCCGCTGCTGCCCAATCCCGGAGCCTGGCGCCGGGCGCGGCCGCCAATCCCGCTCCCCGAGCGGCGCGGGCTGCATCACGTGCCCCTGGCTTGTTGACAGTGGGGAGGGGCGAGGGCTGGGGGGGGGGAGGAGGGAGCGGGGGGCAGAGCGGAGGGAGCCCGGCCCCGTCTCTGAGGTCGGCCCGAGTGCTGGTGACGTCACGGGAGCCCGCCTCCAGGCTCTCGTGTTAACCCTTGCCTCTCCAGCCTGCACGGTGCAAACCCTCTGGAGGGGCAGCTCTGGGGAACCGAGGGCCTAGGGCACCGAAGAAGGTCCGACTGCTGTCCTCTGACCCCTGTGTGGTCTCAGGGTCCCTGCGATCCGCCGCAGGCACGGCCCACGAGCGGGGGGAGGGGGGGAGGACGCCCCGAATGGAGGCCGGTTCCTCGACATGAGTCACCTTTGGAAGTGCAGACCGAGGCCGGAAACAGACCCCACTCCGGAGTGCAAAAGCTCAGCGAGCCCCTGTGGGGAGAGTGCCTGGGATCCCAGGGAGTTCTGTTGTACTCGGATAGGGTGGAGGCCCCCCCCCCCCCGTGCATCTGCGGTTCCGTGCAGGAAGGGGTTAACCGAGGCGCAGAGCGGCGGGGCAGGGCCGGCCGGGGCGGGGAAGGGAAAGGGGAAGGGGGGCCGGGGCCTCTGCGGGCGCGCGCGTGCGTTGCTGACTCAGCGGCGATCCCCGCGGTCTCCGGTGGAGGGTTCCAGGTGGCCCCCCTGGGGCTGGGGTGTGGGGCGTGTGGAGGGTCGGCGCCACTTCCGCGCTTTGCTTCCCGAGGTTGATGGCCCTGGAGGCGGCGGTTCGATCTCAGCAGCCACCGGAGGGAAGCTCTGGGCAGGAAGGCTGAGTCCGAGCGGGGCGGGGACCCGGAGACCACCCCGCCACGCCAGCCACGCCCTTCCTGCCCCAGGTCCCAGGTCCCCAGGCTGCTGGCCGGAGGGGTCGGGGCGGCTTGGCTGACCGGATATTAAACTGCAGAGAGTAGTCGCTCGCTCTTGGACACCATCCTGCCCGCCGTGATGGTGTAAAACAAAGACCAAAGCCATCTGGGCGCCTGTCTCTGCAGGTCACCGGGCCTGGCCCTCGCCGGAGAGGAGCGTGGTCTGCCCCGAGGTGCCCTGGGGATAGAGACATCACCACCCTAAGTTCTCTTCCCGGTTCGGGTCCCAGGCTCTGGCTGCAGGGAAGTTCTTCCCGATGTCTAACCTCTCTCCCCGGTGCCTCGGTGCATTGGAGAACCATAGTCCCCTCCCTTCCTCCTCCCCCAGGATAATGACTCGAAATTTGCAAATTGGGATTTTCTCCTTGCTTTTTCCAAGGCGAAAAACTTCGACTCAACTTTTTGCCCACCCCCATCCCCCGCTTTCCACCACAGAATTTTTACAGAAGAAACTCTAAAATGGTCACTTAATCTGAAAGCCCACGCAAAACGGGAATCTCTGCCCCGTCCCTGTCTCCGCACCACCCCCAGGCGCCCCCGGCCCCCGGCAGCCGCAGCCCGGACACCGGAGGCCGGGAGCCCGGTCCTGGCCGGGGCGGCCATTGTTGGAGAGCACCCGGGTTGTTCGAAAGCTCTTCTCCGCGGCGTTTCCAGAGGAACCCCCGCCCCTGCTCGCTGGCAGCCTTCCCACCTCACCTCCGCCGGCGGGGAGCGGGCGAAGGTGGAGGGGGTGTCGGCGCCGAGCGTTAGCAGCTCAGCAGCCCCCGCCCCCACCGGGCTCCCAGCGCCCTCCCCCCTTAGAGCCCCGCGCCCGGGGCGGGAGAGGCGGGCGGGCGGTGCGGGACCCGGGCTCGGCTCCGCTACAAATCACTTTCCAGCCAGCGACTCAAAAATAGTAACATTCGTCGGGTTGCATCACATTCCCATGTTATCCATTTAATGTGGCCAAGTACGGAAGCAATTCCTTTACGTCCCCACCCCTTTATCGGCGTTCCCACACCTACCTCCCCCCACCCCCCACTCCCCCCGCCCCAGAAACCTCCCCGATCCATTTCCTCCGTCGCCCCCTCCTCTGGATGCGCAGCCCTAGTGGTCCCGGTGGGAAACGCTGTGCGTCTCGGTGGGAGCGGAGCAGGAAGAAAGGCGGGGCCGCCGGGGGCAGCGGGGGCCGCGGGGGCGAGGCCCTGGGCGGCCGCTCCCAGCCCAGCTCCCAGCCCGGAGCAGCCGCCGCAGGTCCCGGCGGAAGCGCAGGCCCAGGAAGGCGTAGAGCACGGGGTTGAGGCCGCAGCGCGCGAGGGCCAGGCCCCCGGTGACCAGCAGGGCCAGGTCCTTGCGCTTACTCGCCGGGCAGCTCCGCTCGCGCGCGGCCAGCAGGTCGGCCGTGTCCAGCAGCAGCGCCAGGCTGTAGGGCAGCTGCAGCAGCACGAAGGCCGCCACCAGGGCCACCACCACGCGCAGCGCGCGCCGGCGCTCCGGCCCCCTGGCGGCCAGCAGCGTGCGGCCCAGCAGCGCGTAGCAGGCTGCCATGACGCCCAGCGGCAGCGCGAAGCCCAGCGCCACCTGCGCCACCGCGCTCGCCCCCTTCACCGTCTGCGCGAGGCCCTCGGGGAAGAGCAGGCGGCAGCGCCGCTGCCCTTCCCGCTGCCCGTCCTGGCTGAAAAGAAGAGCAGGCAGCGCCAGGAGCAGCGACAGCAGCCACACGGTGACGGAGACCAGATGTGCCCGGCCCGGCCCCGAGGGCCTCGGCCCGGCCGGGAGGGCCCGCGTGATGGCCAGGTAGCGGTCGGCGCTAATGCAGGCCAGGAAGAGGAAGCCTGCGTGGAAGGAGGCCGAGTAGAGGCCCGAGATGGCACGGCAGGTGGCACTTCCCAGGCTCCAGCCGTGCAGGGCCCCCGCTGCGGCGAAGGGGAGGGTCAGGGCCAGCAGAAGGTCTGCCAGGGCCAGCTGGAGCAGGTGGGCGGAGGTGGGTGAGCGGGCGGCGTTCCGGGCTGCCAGGTGGGTGGCCAGGACCAGGCCGTTGCCTGCCAGGCCCAGCGCGGCCACCGTCAGGGAGATGCTGGATTGGAAGGCTCGACTGAAGGCCTGGACATCCGCCTTGTAGCACAGCTCTGGCAGAGGCTCCGCTGAGTAGGCCTCCTCATCGTCGCCAGAATATGCGCCCCAGGAGACCTGGGGAAGGTCAAAAAGGAGAAAAGAGACTTGAGGAGTCCTTGTCTTCCCACTCACACAAAACAGGCTTTGGCTTCCCCGGCACCCCCCCCCCCCCCCCCCGCCTCTGCACCCAGCTTTCTGGGTGACCTTGAGCAAGCCACTTGCTCTTTCTGGATCTCAGCTGCCTAATGTGTAGTAGGGTTGTTTGAAAGAAGAAGATAATGGATGTGAAGAAGCATCTGGGATCTTCCTAGGCCAAGGGTTTGTATTATTGATAAACCTTGGAGCTTCAGTTCTGCTTGCAGCGCCCTCTCCTGGAAGAACTCGCACTCGCAGGCTTTGCCTCAGACCCTGTGGCCAGACTCTAGACTCTTGTCTCCTTTCCCTTTTCCCCTCCCCAAACGCACCTCTACCTCGGTATGGGTGCACTGACATAGTCATGACAAGCAGGTCTCAAGTGTTGAGGCTCATGCCAAAATCGGTTTGGCTCGGTGGATAGAGCTTCAGGCCTGCGGACTCAAGGGTCCTAGGTTCGATTCTGGTCAAGGGCATGTATCTTGGTTGCGGGCACATCCCCAGTAGGGGGCGTGCAAGAGGCAGCTGATGGATGTTTCTCATTGATGTTTCTTGCTCTCTATCCCTCTCCCTTCCTCTCTAAAAAATCAATTAAAAAAAATATATTTTTTTTTAAAGAATCGGGGCTCAGGTCTTCCGTTGCACCTTGGACAACTACGTTCAGCTCACTCTTCCCTTCAGCCTGTCCCCCAACCCCAGCCTCACACCACCAGCCCCCTTTATCTGGAGGGCCCCTGGTCCCAAATGGCTCCAGGAGGCCTGTCGCCAGGTGTGGAATCCCATCCCTTCTCCTTCCCCTCCCTTTCTGTAATCCTTCCTCCCCCCTGCCCCCACTCACACCTGCTCTGTGGGCTCGGTCTCCATCTCTGGCCACGAAGGTTTCTGAGGTATAGCCACAGAGGAGAGAAGTTAAATTAGAGGGACAGGAAAGAGGGGGCGGGGAGAGCAGCCAAGAGGATGGTGGGTATTAGGGGCTGTGAGCCCTCTCTACCTAGCGGACCCATTCCACCCCCTAAAAAACAATTTCCCTGTCAGCAGAAAGAGAGTGGGTTTTGGAATATCTCATTTGCTAGCTACCTGTGTGATGGTGGTTTTTAGTTGTTTTACCTCTCTGAGCCTCAGGTTTTTTTATTTGCAAAATGGAGTCAAGTAAAAATGCTGAATTCACAGGGCAATGAGTATGCCTAGTAAGGGTGCTAGGAACATAATTTGCCTTCGGAAAATGTTAGAATCTTTTACATACTCTCCTCCCCATATCCAGCCCCCAACCCCACCTGGATTTTTCAGGACTTTCCTTCCCTCTCCTCTGCGACCAACAGCCACTGCCAGCCTCAGGTTATGGAGGGTATTTCCCCGAAGCCTGGAGGCTCTCTACCCCCCACCCCACCCCGCCCTTCAAGCCAGGCTGAGGCGCGCGCTTGCGCGGAGTCGGGAAAAGCAGCGCTCGTTGGGAGAGAGGCTGGGGAGGGGGGAGGTGAGCGGAGAGAGGGTGGAGAGGAGAGAGCAGCGGAGAGCCTGGAGCGGCTGAGAGAGGGGGGGCGAGGGGAGAAGGGTTGGGAGGGGTAGGGAAAGAGGGGTGGGTGCAGAGGAGAGACAGTGACCGCTGAGAACCCCAGGGGAGCCGAGAGCCGGAGCCGGAGCTGGAACGGGAGCCCTAGCCCGACCTGGGCGCTGGGAGGCGGCCGGGAGCGCCCGGAGCCCTGCAGGATGGGTCTCCGGCTCCTCTGCGTCCTGCTCGCCGCGGTCTCAGGAGCCCGGGGCTGGGGCTACTGTGAGTGCGGGGCTCGGAGGCGGGCAGGGACGGGCCCAGGAGTTCGAAGCGCCGCATTGCGGCTGGGTGGTCGCCGGTCCCTTCCCCGCCGGCGCGCGCTCGCCGGTTCGCTTTCGCCCTTCCCGGCCTCTCCCCCGCGCTCCGCAATGCAGCTCGGCGGCCGGCGCGCGCGCCCGGGGCTGGGGTTGGGCTCGGGACCGAGGACAGAGTCGGCCCTGCTGGGATTTGGCACTGCGACCCAAGCCAGGGCTAGTGCCTCGGTTTGAGGATTGGGGATAAAAGTGTTACTGGTGACCCGGACTAGGATTAAGGTTTTGCCAGGGGCTGGGTTTGGGAGTGGGGGCTGGACTTTGGGACTGGGATCCACGGTGGAGTTGCTGCCGGATGGATACTAAGGTTGGACACAGAACTGGTGATGGTGTCAGGCCTGGCTGGGTTGGGACCAAGGCCCGGATCTGGAATTGGTGCAGGTTGGGGGATGCTGAGGATGGCACGGATGCTCAGGCTGGGCTGGATCGGTGTCTTGGGCTGACTCAGGTTCTGAAAGATGCTACATTTGAGGTTGTGTTTTGGGGAGTACTGAGCCTGGTTAATACATGGCAGGAACAGGGCTAGGGAGGGTCTGGCCTAAGGGTCCCCCCCGAAGAAGAAAGCCCCCCTGAGTGTGCCCCCATTGCTGCAGCGGGTGGAGGAGATGCTTAAGTTAGGGCTGGGTCTGCTGCTGGGGACTGAGCAGGAGGCGCAGCAGAGGCTCCCTGTGCAGGGGGAGGGGTGGTGGTGGGGTGGTGGGGTAGGGGTGGGGAGGGGCCTTGGGGAAGACCTGGGAGGGGCTGACCTGTCCAATATGCCTGTTCCCCCAACCCAGACGGCTGTGATGAGGAGCTGGTGGGGCCCCTGTACTATCGCTCCCTGGGTGCCTCCTCCTACTATGGGTTCTTCACGGCTCCACGCTTCGCCCGACTGCACGGTGAGCCTGGCCCCGGGGAGCGGGGAGGGGTTGGGGGGGGGCTGGGAGAAAAGGGGGAGCCAGTGGTGAACGCCCTTGTCCCCTCTCTAGGCATCAGTGGCTGGTCTCCCCGGATTGGGGACCCGAATCCCTGGCTCCAGATCGACTTAATGAAGAAGCACCGCATCCGGGCGGTGGCCACCCAAGGCTCCTTCAACTCCTGGGACTGGGTCACACGCTACATGCTGCTCTACGGCGACCGCGTGGACAGCTGGACGCCCTTCTACCAGCAGGGGCACAATGCGGTAGGCAGGCCTGCGGCTCCCTGGGGAACCGCCTTGTTCTGCAGCCTGTGCTTGTGCGGGAAGGAGCGGGGGTGAGGGCACAGGGTAGGTAAGAGCAGTGACTTGCACTCGGAGACTCGGTTCAGGAGGACTGTAAACTCACAGGTGGGCGAGACACTCCCGGATGACAGGGTTTAGCCACCTTAGGAGAGCTTCTTGGAGGAGGTGACACCCGAGTTGAGCTGTGAGGAAGGAATAAGAATGTGGGAGAAGACCCTCCAGACGAGGAAAATGAGCTGTGTGTGCACAAAGCCATGGAGGCGGGAGGTCAGGGAGTGTTTGCCTTGGGAAAATCGGGATGGTCTGCCTGTGACAGCTGCGGGCTGGGAGGCTGCGGAGAACAAGCCGAGGGTGGGGACCAGGCCTCTCCTCTCCCCTCTTTTCCCCTCCCCTCCTTTCCCCTCCCCTCCCCTCTCCCCTCCTCTCTCCCCTTTCCCTCCCCTCCTCTCCCCCCTCAGACCTTCTTCGGGAACGTGAACGAGTCGGCCGTGGTGCGCCACGACCTGCACTACCACTTCACCGCGCGGTACATCCGCATCGTGCCCTTGGCCTGGAACCCGCGGGGCAAGATCGGCCTGCGGCTGGGCCTCTACGGCTGTCCGTACAGTAAGATCTTGTGCGGGGCGGTGGGAGGGCGCGGGGACCACCCGCCTCCCCGGCCCCCACCCGGCCCCGGCCCACGTCCGGTCGTTCGCGCAGAGTCCGACGTGCTCTATTTCGACGGCGACGACGCCATCTCGTACCGCTTCCCGCGCGGGGCCAGCCGCAGCCTGTGGGACGTGTTCGCGTTCAGCTTCAAGACCGAGGAGAAGGACGGGCTCCTGCTGCACGCGGAGGGCGCCCAGGGCGACTACGTGACCCTGGAGCTAAAGGGGGCGCACTTGCTGCTGCACATGAGCCTGGGTGAGTGACGGGCGGCGCGGCGGCTGGGGGCGCTGTTGGGAAGCCCCGCGCACTCCTGAGGTCCCCCCTTCCGTTTGGACGGCTCCCACCTGCCTCTTTGGTGTAGAATTTAGTGCTGGCAAAACTCGGGTCTCCGGTTAGCAGAAATGGAATCCAGTCTCAGCTGTGCTGTCTACCAGCGGTGTGACCTCGGACAAGGCACTTCCCCAATCCCAGTCTCCTCATTGTAAAAGCATCACACACACACACACACACTAAAAAGGTATTATTTTTGTGTCTAATTAGTTTCTCATCTCATCCACATCATAAAGTAGAAGCAGCTATTGTGCCCCAAGTTTTACTGAAAGAAGTTCAAAGAGGTTAAATGACTTACTCTAAGTCACATCCTTGCCCATGACCGCTGCTCCAGCCCAGGCTCTGGGTGGCCCCGTCTCTGTATGCCCACCCTCCCAGGCTGCTGCTTCACCGAGGGGCTGGGCTCCCTGCGGTGCTCGGTCCCAGGTCTGACCTAGCCCCACCCTATCCTCAGGCAGCAGCCCCATCCAACCGCGGCCTGGACACACAACGGTGAGCGCCGGCGGGGTCCTCAATGACCAGCACTGGCATTATGTGCGTGTGGACCGGTACGGCCGCCACACCAACTTCACCCTGGACGGCTATGTGCAGCGCTTCATTCTCAATGGCGACTTCGAGAGACTGAACCTGGACAATGAGGTGAGCAGAGCAGAAGGAGTCCTTTGGTTGAGGGGGGCGCTGGGTGGGTGAGGGACGGCACTTCTCTCCACCAAAGTAAGGCCTTGCTTCCTGGTGCCACCGGAGAACCACTGAGATGGGGTTTGGAAATCTGGATTTTGAGGAATGGGCAAGATGAGAACATTGCCCCCTGGGATTGCCCACCTCAGTGGGATTGGTAAAGACCCTGGCCTCCACCTGCATGTAAAGAATCCCAGAAAGTGTTACTGACTTACCCAAGGGCATGCAGCCAATGTGTGGTGGAGGTAGGACTAGACCCCAAACCTCAGGAGGCTCAGTGAGCTTCCAGCTTGAATACCGACATTGGGGAAATGTGTGTTTCAAGACTTTTATAAAAACAAAAAAGTTCCAGGAAGGTGCCTGCTGCTCCCGCACCCAGGGACTCACCGTCCCAGGGAGCCTCACCCTCGTTCCCTACTCCGCCCGCCCACAGATGTTCATTGGAGGCCTGGTGGGCGCTGCACGGAAAAACCTTGCCTACCGGCATAATTTCCGTGGCTGCATAGAGAATATCATCTTCAACCGAGTCAACATCGCCGACCTGGCTGTGCAGCGCAGTTCGAGGATCACCTTCGAGGCCAGTGGGCTGGGATCTGGGAGGAATGGGACATCAGAGCCACTTGGAAAGCAAAGAAGTGGCGCGGGAAGAGATCTTGACAATCAGATACAAACTCAGGACCTCTCCCTCCCCAGCCAGATGCTCAAGTGGGGGCATGATAAAAATTACAGGAGATCCAAAGTCCACCCCTTTACCCAGTTAAGAAGCGGCAGGAAAGCCCTGGGAAATCCCCTCTGGAAGTTAGCAGGAGGGAGGCCGTGGCCATGAAGATGTAGATCAGTGATAGCAAAAGAGCCGAGGCCCCCTCTACAGCTGGACATGTTTCTAGGAGGGCGTTGAAATGTCAGGATTGAAGGTCTCTACCCCTCTCCCCCAACCTGTCACGCCCCACCCTGAGGGAGTGCTGTGACAGATCTTAGACCAGTATGAAAATGGGATTCCCAGAGAGGTGGGCTGGAAACTTGATGGACCCTTGCTTTGGCCCCCAGGGCAAGGTGGCCTTCCGCTGCCTGGACCCGGTGCCTCACCCGGTCAACTTCGGAGGTCCTCACAACTTCCTGCAAGTGCCCGGGTTCCCTCGCCGAGGCC